ATTTTACAATCAGAATTTGAGTGTCCTCATGTTAAGGTAAGTGAAAATTTAGTCAAAACATAAATAATGGTTTATATGATTCACCTGATCTTAGATAAATGACTGTAAAATTATAAAATATATGTTTGAAAAATATTTCAAACAAAAACGTAGGCAAAGTCAGCACGGTCATTATTTTTTTCTACTCTTGTTTTGAACAACAAAAATATACATCATTCTATTTTGTATATTAGTTTCTTCTGAATTTTTTTTTACATGCCTCTTATTTTCTTTGTTTTAAAGGTTTCGCGCTGTTGCGGCTTAAAGATAACTTCCGAAGGCTATGTGGTCACTTTGGCCAAAAATAATCACCATGTGCTGGTACTTAACACGCTTTACGTTCACTGATCGCAGATCAAAACCACAACTAGCAGTTGTATCAGCGGCAGCAGCAATAACAACAACACTACTGGGGGTAACGTAAGCAATTTTCCAATGAATGTATCCAATGGAAATGGTAGTGGCGGTGGCGTTGGCGTTGGCAGCAGTGGCAGTGCCTATGAAAGCGTTAACTGCGGCATTATCGCAGTCAACAATGCCATCAGCAGCAATAGATATACAACGAATAACAGCGGCAGCACAAGCAGCAGCAGTAGCAATAATAACAATCACAATGTCAATAATCTTCATCCCCACACTTATCAGCAACAGCAGCAATATAACCATCCACCCCAACCACATAATCACCATTATCATGCAACCCACCATTATCAGCAGCCTCAGCAACAACAACAGCAACAGCAACAGCATAGTTTAAACAGCGCTAGTATTATGGGTAGTGCCATACATAGCAACAACAATCAAATGCATACTAGCAGCAGCAGCAGCAGCAGCAGCGGCGGCGGTAGTGCGCTACAACGTTCAACGGATAATAAATCTAGCCTCTGGTTGATGATGAATGGTGTAGGTGCGACGGCTGCTGGGGTTGGAGTTGCTGCTGATAGAGCCTTGCCACAGCCACCGCCCCACGGTCAACACTAATGTGCGCTGCCAAGACAGTAAAGCGGAACGCAGATTTGATGGATAGCAAGCGTGCTTTTAGCAGGTAATTGCTTTAAAGCGGCCAAACCATAATACAAATACAATTTATATATACGTATATGTACATATTTATATATAAATGAACCAGTGAAAGCGAATTATTCGATTATTAAGAAATGCCTATAATACATAAGTGGAGATTTCGCCCCATGCAAAATACGATTTTGTGAGTAAATGTAAATGAAAAAATCTATTTTTAGCAATTAGAAAAAGAAACAAATAAGTATATACAAACATACACAAGCAAAATACACGATAACACCAATACACAACACTGCGCGTAGACAATTTGAAATCTCAAACGAAGAAAACCATTTTGAAATTACGGTAGATATCACCAAAAAAAAATTAAAAATGTTATACACACAACTTGTTTAATTTATAAAAGAATAAGCTTTAACATACAGACATAGTATATTGTTTTTGATCTCTTTTCCAAGTTTTATTGCTTTTTCAAATCTATACCACAAAGAAGGATTATGCTTCGCCAAAAATCAGTCATAAGTTCGCTTTTTCTTGCTTCTTTCTTTTTTTTTTTAATTTACGAAGAAAAACGTAACACTCTTCGCAGACTTTTTACAAATAGCGCCGGCGTGCAGTTGGTTGTGAAAGAGTGTTTGAGCGACAGGTGATTCAAAAAACGCTTAAAATAATGGTTAAATATGCAAATAACTCATAAACACAAAAAACAATCGAATGAATACTTTCAAGAGACCATTTCGGAAGGCACATTCCAAGTGAATATTTGAAAAAAAAAATTTTGGAAGTAGTTGAAAAAATATGATAACAAAAACGTTACATAAAATTATCAAAATTATTTTTTCTTAATAAAAATTAATGTTGCCAAGAATAATTCTGTGATAAAATTTAAGCATTGACAAATGCATTAGCAAAAGTTGTAGTTGGGAATCAGAAATTGGTTATCGCTTGGTCAAAATTTAGCAAAAAATTGAGAGATCCATTTGTGCAAATTAAATGTTTTTGTTGTTTAGCAATCACTTGACGATCACACGACCGCCCTGCGCGCGCTACCCATGTGTTTATGAGCTTGAGTATTATGTTTTCAAATTCAATTGTAACAACAAGGATGGCGTTTAATTTTCATTAAACCTAAATAAAGCATTTATAAAACTGGCAATTCCTTTAAGTTTCACACTGTTTACGTTTCTTGTTATACGTATGCAAGAGTTGGCAAGTCAATAATATGCAGTGCCGTGATGGAGTGATTAATGTAAAATTTTAATATTTAAAAGTGAAAATAATAAAAAGGTAAATTTTTGTTATTTTGAAATATGTACTTGCGAAGTCCTTTAAATACACACTTTTTATTTTTATTTTAAACAGTCGTGCTATGCAAGAACAAGCGACAGTGAATTTTAGCGTGTAATCTTACAAATCTAAAAAAAAAATAAAAACGGCATACAATTCAATTAGTGTAAAAGCGGGATTTATTTTTATTCTTCAAATGGTCGGTAATGGAAGAGCAATTAAAATAGCCTTCATGCAAATAAATACATTTATAGTCTTTAACACATACAAAATGAGAGAAAACGAATTCAATAACAACAAAACAAAAACAACATAAAAAAGGCTGGTTTTCCAAGACATTATTTTTATTATTATTATCTAATATTTTAAACAACAATTTAAATATTAATTATTACATAGCCTACCACATACATTTTAAAGCAAAGCGAAATATTTTACATATTTTCTTTAATGCGCTGTAAACTTTAACATTTATTTTAATCCGACTTTCAATTGTTATGTATAAAACATGTTTGTTTTTCGATATATAAATTCAATATTAAATATTACATACAAATATGTATACAATCATACCTACATTTTATTGAGAACAACATCATTAAATTTACTCACACAAACAAATGCAAATGTGTAAATACTTTACTTTTACAACATTGGCATTGTTGACGGTTGCGGCGGTTGGCAACGAATTCCATGTAAAAAAAAAACAAAAATGAATACCTTTTTTATTTAACAAAAGGCCTTATTGTTGTTGCGTCCGCCCCAGCTTATTTTAAACAATATTAGAGTAATTCAAGAAAACGCGCAAATGCCTCGTAACCACGTAAGCCTTGTAAACTTACTTAATTTTGTATGGAAAATCGAATTATTTACGAGATTTGCGCGGTTACAAGGCATTTACACGTTTACCTGAATACCCATATTATTACTTTATTTTTCTTTTTCCCGTTTTTAAGCTTTTGCGATCTTCTTTTATTAATTGTTGTAAATGAAAGAAAATCAACAACAAAATAAAAACATACTAGCAACTTGTGTGTTTCAAATATTTTCTTGTCATTTTTTGTATTATTCATAATTTTAACTTTATTTTATTTTCATATTAACGAAGAGACAGAAATTTTAAAATCTATTATTATATATTTACAAATTAAATATGTATGTAAAACACGAACAATAACAAAAATGTAAAAAAAAAAAACAAAAAAGAATTAACGAAAAGCTACCTAAGAATTTTTATTGCAATTTTTAATGATATATCAATAAATTTTTAATTTGAAAATTTTTTTTTTATTTATATTTTAATTTTTTACAAATTTTAATTGTAAATGTACATACATATTACATATACATACATTTGTAAGACTTTTATTGAAGTGAAATGAAGCGAAGCAAAATAACAGAATAAAAAAGCAAAAAAACATTGTATTTAGCAATTTTGAGGTCGTGGGAAGGCAATTGCTACTAAGAAAGTATACTAAGAAAAACAAAAACTAAAACAACAACCATAACAAACACAACAACCAATAATCGCATATTTTCAAGTCATTTTTGATTATTTAGACATGTTGTTTTTTTAATATATAATTATATATAAATAGCCTTAGTGCATACATATATACATACATACATATATGATGACTTAAAACAGTTTACAATAATTGTTAGTGTAGAAATTATATATATAAAATTAGCGCAGGAGAATTTCAAAGAAAAAAAATTAGAAAATATCTATGGTACTCAACTCAAATTTAGCGAGAATTTGAGCACTTTGAAGAGAGTTGAATTGAAGCAAAGCTTGGTGAAAGTGTTGGAAATTGAATTATCTAAAAATAGTTTAAGCGCGAACAACATGTTTTTTTGTAGGATATTGTGTACTTTTCAATCTATTTGGGAAATTACAAAAAAAAAAAATTTAAAAAAAAAAACGAACAATTATGTACACTATATTGGTAACGAAATGGAAATCTCTGCACTAAAATTTAAATTTCACTATCCACCTTTCTTTTCTCATATGTATTCAAATGCTTGCCACTTTGCGCCAATTACGATAACAAAAATTACATATTATTTTTTCTCAAGTGGCTTTCTCGATATTTACACAAACTATTCCCTTTTGAATCCATTAACAAAAAAAAAATTGAATACAAATAACTATTTTCTTAATACATAAGTGGCTTAATTTTATTAATTACGAAAATTTACATCTTAGTTTTAATTAGTCTTACATATATAATTTTTATAGTTTTTAAACTTTTAACTTCTTGTAAATTTGCTGCTGTGTTTTTCCCTTTAATTTGGGTTTGTCAAACAAAACTATTTTGTTTACTATCACTATACAACTTATTATTATTATTATTATTATTTTTTAATATAATGTTATCGTTATAACTTTTATTTTAGGACGTATATAATGTAGTTAAAGCTAAACTAAAACGAAGGAGGAAGAATGTAAGAGAGAAAACAGCTACAAAAAAGCATTTTAGCTCTATATGCCAAAACGTATTGATATTATTTTTTCACTTCCACTCACCGCAAATAACGACTACAACAATAACAAAAACATTGGTTTGTTGTTAGTGTTTAAACTGGTTTTTAATGTGTAATTTTATTTTATTATATAATTTTTTTTAAATACCTGATCATGATATTTGGTTTTAATTTGTTTTGACTTTTAATTCAAATGTGCTTTTAAATTATAAATTTATCTTTTGTTTTCATCATTACAGTTTTTAATTTATTTTTTGTTACCAAAAAGAGTTTGCTTTTAATTTTGAAATACTATGGTATACAGTTTAATTCGTAATTAAATTTTTTTTTTAATAATTTTATATTTTTTTTATTATTATCTATTTTTTTTTTTTAACTTTAAGTAAATCAACATAATGCGCTTTTAATGATGTCCTTGTTGTGTTAGTGAGACTTTCGTACTTGACGCTATTTTAGTTTTTGTAGGAAGGTTTTTCTTCGTTCCAATGAAAAATTTATTAAAACAAATATTTAAGTTTTACAAAATCTATAAGTATATAGTTTAACAAAAACGAAAAATATATAATATAAATATAGTATATATACATATATTAATTATAAATTGTTAACATGTTGAATTCGTGCTCGAAAATGTATAATTGATAAAACGTCACTTTGCTGTGCTTTTACCTTTTTATTAAAATTGAAATTAAAAATTAAAAAAAAAACAAAATTAAAAAAAAAACGTTAGTATAACTTTTACTATTTTTTGTGGTTTTACAATATCACATACGTACATATGTATACAAACATGCAATTTAAAAGTGAACACTAAAGTGAACAATTTGCATATTTGTAGAACTTAGCGACCTCTTTATTATATTCCTTTTTCGCAATTAAGTGTTTAGAATTTATATTTACATAAATACATACATACATACATTACTGAAACCTACTCACACACCTACAGACAAATATACAAAAATATATACCATAAATAAAAAAAAACAGGATGTCAGCTTTTTAATTGAACCCACGTTTGCTCGTTAGAGATCTCTTGGCTTCATAAAGTAACATTTTAATTTTTTATCGTATAATTCGTTTATAATCCGTTTTTTTTTCACAAGCTCAGACAAAGCTTCGCTAAGCCTCAACTTTGCCAGGAAATTAATTTTTATCCGGCAGGTTCTGCAATTCACTTCCGAGTGAATTTGAGACAAGTTCACCTAGAATTCAAATTGACAGGGGTTGAGATTCACTCGGAAATGAATTGCAGAACCTGCCTGACTGTGTTTCCCAACAAAAAAAGCTTCTTTCGTCGCAATCTACTACCACTACTTTTCGCAAAAAAAAAATGTTTTAAGGGCATATATCATTTACCGAGTACAAGTTTTGGTAAATGGTATTTCGATTCCAGCGCCATCTAGCGAATTCAAATCTTGTGTCGACATATACAAATAGAACCAAAAAGAAACAAAAGAATCCGCCATGCGGCAAATAAATTTTATTTATGTATAAGATGATTTTTAATTTGTGTGTCTGTCTCACATTGTTTCCTTTCCAATTTGGTATGGCTTACGTACGCTGCATTTCATGGTTCTGCGTAGTAATTT